ATAAATGTCATTATGTTAAGTCGCGTCCCAAATCCCAAAAGATTCAATTTGCGAAGGCGAGTTTCGGTAGAGAATAAAACGTTTTACTACTGCTCAACATTTCAGGTCGAAGCAATAAAGAAACTAGACTGGGTCTGGGATCATCCACGGCCGGCTTACCTCACTGAATAGAGTGCGTACGAACAATACGTGCTCTTTTAATACGTTTCTGTACTTTTATGTATTACTCTGTACATAACATTTATGCTATATGATCCCGGCATAGAATAGGTAACCCCCTTCCCTTACTGTGGGTGTTGTAAGAGAATTTAATGGTCGAAGAATCGAGAGCAGGGTGCCTCTTGAATAAATATTTATTAGTAAGTACTCGTAATATGGTAAATATCAAGTACATAAAATAATATTAAGACCACATATTTCACCACAATTAGGAATACAAAATTTAAAATACTTAAATTATTTATCTTTATAATTTTGTTTAAATATAAAAAATGATTAGAAGACTGTCATCATTGTGTAATCTTTTATTTGATATTTATATGTATATATATATATATATATATATATATATATATATATATATATATATATATATATATACATATAATATATATATATATATATATATATATATATATATATATATATATATATATATATACATATATTATATATATATATATATATATATATATATATATATATATATATATATATATATATATATATATATATATATATATATATATATATATATATATATATATATATATATAGATAGATATAGTATCAGAGAGCCTTGTGTCTGAGTCTCTAGTGTCTAGTGTCTAGTGCCTGAGTGTCTAGTATCAAGTGTCTAGTGTCCAGTGTCTACTACACTAGACACTAGACACTCAGGCACTAGACACTAGACACTAGAGAATCAGACACTAGACACTCAGACACTCAGAGACTAGACACTCAGACACTTAGAGACTAGACACTCAGACACTAGACATTAGACACTTGACACTGGGACACTTGACACTCGGACACTTGACACTCAGACACTAGACACTCGGACACTAGACTCTCAGACACTAAACACTCGGACACTTGACACTCGGACACTTTACACTAGACACTCGGATACTTGACACTCGGACACTTGACACTCGGACACTTGACACTCGGACACTTTACACTAGATACTCAGACACTAGACACTCAGACACTTAGAGACTAGACACTCAGACACTAGACACTAGACACTTGACACTCGGATACTAGACACTAGACACTCGGATACTTGACACTCGGACACTTGACACTCGGACACTAGACATTCGGACACTAGACACTCGGACACTAGACACTCGGACACTAGACACTAGACACTAGACACTCGGATACTTGACACTCGGACACTTGACACTCGGACACTAGGTACTCAGACACTAGACACTAGACACTCGGTCACTAGACACTAGACACTAGACACTAGACAATCAGACACTTGACACTCGGACACTAGACACTCGGACACTAGACACTTAGACACTAGACACTCGGATACTTGACACTCGGACACTTGACACTCGGACACTAGACACTCGGACACTAGACACTCAGACACTAGACACTCAGACACTTAGAGACTAGACACGCAGGGACTAGACACTCAGACACTAGACATTAGACAGTTGACACTCGGACACTTGACACTCGGACACTTACACTCGGACGCTAGACACTCGAACACTAGACACTCAGACACTAAACACTAGACACTCGGACACTAGACACTAGACACTAGACAATCAGACACTTGACACTCGGACACTAGACACTCGTACACTAGACACTCGGACACTAGACACTCGGATACTAGACATTAGACACTCGGATACTTGACACTAGGACACTTGACAATCGGACACTAGACACTCGGACACTTGACACTAGATACTAGACACTAGACACTAGCCACTAGACACTCTGACACTAGACACTAGACACTAGACACTCGGATACTTGACACTCGGACACTTGACACTCGGACACTTGACACTCGGACTCTAGACACTCGGACACTAGACACTCGGACACTAGACACTCGGACACTAGACACTCGGACACTTGACACTCGGACACTTGACCCTCGGACACTAGACACTCGGACACTAGACACTCGGACATTTGACACTAGATACTAGACACTAGACACTCAGACACTAGACACTCAGACACTCGGTCACTAGACACTCGGACACTAGACACTCGGATACTTGACACTCGGACACTTGACACTCGGACACTTGACACTAGGACACTTGACACTCGGTCACTAGACACTAGACACTCGGACACTTGACACTCGGACACTAGACACTCGGACACTAGACACTCAGACACTAGACACTCAGACACTTAGAGACTAGACACGCAGGGACTAGACACTCAGACACTCGAACACTAGACAGTTGACACTCGGACACTTGACACTCGGACACTTACACTCGGACGCTAGACACTCGAACACTAGACACTCAGACACTAAACACTAGACACTCGGACACTAGACACTAGACACTAGACACGAATCAGACACTTGACACTCGGACACTAGACACTCGTACACTAGACACTCGGACACTAGACACTCGGATACTAGACATTAGACACTCGGATACTTGACACTAGGACACTTGACAATCGGACACTAGACACTCGGACACTTGACACTAGATACTAGACACTAGACACTAGCCACTAGACACTCTGACACTAGACACTAGACACTAGACACTCGGATACTTGACACTCGGACACTTGACACTCGGACACTTGACACTCGGACTCTAGACACTCGGACACTAGACACTCGGACACTAGACACTCGGACACTAGACACTCGGACACTTGACACTCGGACACTTGACCCTCGGACACTAGACACTCAGACACTAGACACTCGGACATTTGACACTAGATACTAGACACTAGACACTCAGACACTAGACACTCAGACACTCGGTCACTAGACACTCGGACACTAGACACTCGGATACTTGACACTCGGACACTTGACACTCGGACACTTGACACTAGGACACTTGACACTCGGTCACTAGACACTAGACACTCGGATACTTGACACTCGGACACTTGACACTCGGACACTAGACACTAGACACTCGGATACTTGACACTCGGACACTTGACACTCGGACACTTAACACTAGGACACTTGACACTCGGTCACTAGACACTAGACACTCGGATACTTGACACTCGGACACTTGACACTCGGACACTAGACACTAGACACTCGGATACTTGACACTCGGACACTTGACACTCGGACACTAGACACTCGGACTCTAGACACTCGGAAACTAGACACTCGGACACTAGACACTCGGACACTAGACACTCGGACACTAGATACTCGGACACTAGACACTCGGACACTAGACACTCGGACACTTGACACTCGGACACTTGACCCTCGGACACTAGACACTCGGACACTAGACACTCGGACATTTGACACTAGATACTAGACACTAGACACTAGACACTCAGACACTAGACACTCAGACACTTAGAGACTAGACACTAGACACTCGGATACTTGACACTCGGACACTTGACACTCGGACACTATACACTAGACACTCGGACACTAGATACTAGACACTAGATACTAGACACTAGCCACTAGACACTCGAACACTAGACACTAGACACTCGGACACTAGACGCTCGGACACTAGACACACTGACACTAGACTATCTGATTCTTGACACTCGGACACTTGACACTCGGACACTTGACACTCGGACACTAGACACTCGGACACTAGACACTCGGATACTTGACACTCGGACACTTGACACTCGGACACTAGACACTCGGACACTAGACACTAGACACTCGGACACTTGACACTCGGACACTTGACACTCGAACACTAGACACTAGACACTCGGATACTTGACACTCGGACACTTAACACTCGGACACTAGTCACTAGACACTAGACACTCGGATACTTGACACTCGGACACTTGACACTCGGACACTAGACACTCGGACACTAGACACTCGGACACTAGACACTCGGACACTAGACACTCGGACACTAGACACTCGGATACTAGACACTCGGACACTAGACACTCGGATACTAGACACTCGGACAATAGACACTCGGACACTAGACACTAGACGCTCGGACACTGGACACTCAGACACTAGACACTAGACACTAGACACTAGACACTCGGACACTAGACACTAGACACTCGGACACTTGACACTTGGATACAAGACACTTGACACTCGGACACTAAACACTAAACACTTGACACTCGGACACTTGACACTCGGACGCTAGACACTAGACACTTGACACTCAGACACTCAGACACTAGACACTCGGACACTTGACACTCAGACACCTGACACTCGGACACTAGACACTCGAACACTAGACACTCAGACACTAGACACTAGACACTCGGATACTAGACACTAGACACTGGACACTCAGACACTCGGACACTAGACACTCAGACACTAGACACTCAGACACTAGACACTCAGACACTAGACACTCGGACACTAGACACTCAGACACTAGACACTTAGACACTTGACACTCAGACACTTGACACTCGGACACTAGACACTCAAACATTCAGACACTAGACATTTAATATATAAATAATTTAATATATATATTATTTATATATTAAATGTATATATATTACACACACTTACACAAAACTCTCTGATACTAGACACACTGACACTAGACTCTCTGGGGCCAAATAGCCCCATTACTAGCAATACACCAATAATTTACCAGAGGGAGACTTTGTACAAAAGTCGATTGCTTGGGTACCTCTGTCCCATTCGTGTTTCAACCGTGAAGCAGTTGTGTTTGCATGGCTGTGTTTCGGTTTGAAGGGTGGGATATGGCGTGAATTTACTGGGTACAGAGGAATAACACCTGAGTCCTCAGGAATGGCAACGCATGGGGGTATCATGGGCGAAACAGAATACTCTGTTATGTCCATGGTACTGCTCATGTCTATAGGCGACGGTTACCACTTTCCATCAGGTGGGCCGTCAGCTTGTTTGCCATTCTAAGTTATATAAAAAAAAAAAAAAAAAAAAAACACCCTGCCAGGTCGATCTCCACGCATTGCTCCCCCTCGAAACCATCGTGGCTAATTCTAGTTGAATTCGTCAAGATAGGCTAACTGACCTGCTTTCAACCTCATCAGTCATCTATCACTGGTGCTCCACCAGTGTATACTGATAGCGCAGACGGGTAACCGTACCATTATCACCCATAAAAAAAAACAAATTTCATTGTTTGATTGAGCCATTAAGGGACCTATTACAAAATCATGTCGCCTAAATTTGGCTAAGGTGCATTGATTTGCACGGCTTTGGAAATTAGAAAGAAATGAGTTATATAACAAAGAGAAATAAAAAAATATAAAAAAATTGTTTTTAAGACTAGACGTCTATCTATATAATTCAGGAATCAAAATGTATATCAAAGCCTTAATTATTTAGAATCAGAGATCCAAAATCTTTGATTTTGCGTTGTTTTATGCAAAAAATGTGAAAGGCCTCTTAAGGCGCAAACAAACTCAATCATTTTTATATTTATTAATTTTTTTACAACAGGGGCAAACGAGCTGGCGACTTACCTGATGGTAAGTGACTACCGCGGCCCACGATCACCCACAACACCAAAGGCATTGCAGGCGTGCTGTCGGCCTTTTAAAATCTTTGGTTTGCTGGAAGAGAACTCTTTTAGAGTTAAGTTCGCCTTTGTATATTTGCTTAGCTCTGACATATTTTTTATGTATAATATTATTAGTATGTACAAAAAGTATAAATAAATAAACAAAAAAGGATTTTATATAGACATTAAAAGGAATAGAGCAACTAAAAACAAATTATGTGTGCGACTTTTAATGAAATTCCGTCGGCATCTCGTAGTTTGTCGACGGCACACATGCGCCCCCTCACGTCCTATAGCTCAAGCTGTGCGTACTGTTTCACCCTGCTAATTAGGCAAATACAGATAACGAATCGGCCGCGACGTGATCGCTGCCGACTTCCAATCAAATCGAGGCGGTAATACGTCTTATGATGTCACGTAATCTGGGGTCTAGGGAGACTTTGTACAAAAGTCGCTTGCTTAGGACAGCCTATTCGTGTTTTAACCGTGAAACAGTTATGTTTGCATGGCTGTATTTCGGTTTGAAGGGTGGGATATGCCGTGAATTTACAGGGTACAGAGGAATAACACCTGAGTCCTCAGGAATGACAACGCATGGGGGGTATCATGGGCGAAACAGTATACTTTGTTATATCCATGGTACTGCTCATGTCTATAGGCGACGGTTATCAGTTTCCATCAGGTGGGCCGTCAGCTTGTTTGGCATTCTAAGTTGCAGAAAAAAAAAGAAACCAACTTCAATTGTAGTAAATCTATCTCTATTTTGATTTTAAAATTAAATTACTTAATAGAATTTGATAAAATTTCTATAAAACCAATCTGTATTATAACTTTTTTTATTTTTATTTATTTATTCCTCTGTACCCTGTAAATTCACTGCCATATCCCACCCTTAAAACCGAAACACAGCCATGCAAACACAACAGCTTCACGGTAGAAACACGAATGGGACAGAGGTATCCAAGCAATCGACTTATGTACAAAGTCTCCCTCTGGTATTATAACTAACGGTAACAAACATAAAAATAAAATGACAACCGAATTGAGATTCTCTTTTTGAAGTCTATTAAAAAAATTAGTAAGTCAATAATAATAATAATGAATTAATATAAATACAATAAAAGTGTTGCGAAAATTAGTAATTTAACGGAATTCAGTGTCCGTTAACCATAGATAAAGACAAAAACAGAGGAGCGACGTGTTGATACGTCGTTAGCGGCTACATAATGCCTACTAATGTTTTTGCCAAATACTTTTCTTCCGGATAGTCTAGGGTTGTCAACATTAATACATTTGCTGAAAATGCGTTACGTTAAGTTCCGAATATAATTTTAAATATTTTTTTACTTTATTTTTGTGCATCGTACGTAATTGGTAAATCTGTAAAAGTGTATAATAAGTCAAATTATAGATAAAAATAAAATAAATGTATGATTAGGTAATATGTACATAGTTATCAAATAATATTTTTATGAAATATTATTCTACTACCTGTATCCCGCGACGTGACGCGTATACCATATTCATTCGGTCCGTTTAATCGTTTTTACCTGAAACACTAACAAACATCCTACCTCACAAACTTTTCATTTATAAAAATAGTTGAATCAGTCAGTGATATAAATTTTTGTATTGTAACAATTGCTGTACAAAGACTGATAATACTGTCACCATACATCCAAATTCCACGTTGTCTCAATAATATACGAGTGCATGTAAAAGCAATTTTTGCTGTTATTAAATGTAATAACGGCAAAAATTAATATAAATGTTTTTCAAGTTTATACTTATATAGAAATAGAATAGTTAGACATTTTGAATCTTACTCTAATAGTGTGTGTATATATATATATATATATATATATATATATATATATATATATATATATATATATATATATATATATATATATATATATATATATATATATATATATATATATATATATATATATATATATATATATATATATGAATGTATCTATGTATGTGTATGTATGTATTTTGCATATATAAAAACCGATCATTGTCATCACGCAAATGTGAAAACGATTCATGGCTTAACATAGATATAAATTTGATTATGTATTGACTGTAATTCAGCTGTACGTTTTCCAAAAAATAAAAAAATAAATAAATAGATTAAAACGTCACTGCCATAGCTACTATTACAAAAGGCTTCCAACAGACTATATCGAAATCAGTGTATTTAAGAGAATTAGTTTATTATAAGATAACCAGACATTGTATACAAACTTTGTACAAAAGTCGTTTGCTTGGGTACCTCTGTCCCATTCGTGTTTCAACCGTGAAGCAGTTGTGTTTGCATGGCTGTGTTTCGGTTTGAAGGGTGGGATATGGCGTGAATTTACAGGGTACATAGGAATAACACCTGAGTCCTCAGGAATGGCAACGCATGGGGTGTATCATGGGTGAAACAGTATACTCTGTTATGTCCATGGTACTGCTCATGTCTATAGGCGACGGTTACCACTTTCCATCAGGTGGGCCGTCAGCTTGTTTACCATTCTAAGTAATTTAAATAGAGAATAAACCCTCACCTTTATTTTAATTATAAGTATAATATAATACAATAGATAAGTATTTAAATAATATTTATATTCATCATCATCATCATCATATCAGCCGTTACCTGTCCACTGCTGAACATAGACTTCATCACCCTTGGAGGGTTTTGCCTTGCATGCTTTTCAGGCAGGTTAACAACCGAAATTAGTCTTTGGTGATGTTTTAAAAGCGACGCTGCTGCCAGCCCTCGACCATTAAATGCTCTTAGTCGCCTTAAGAAATGACACCCACGGGAGTGAAGAATAAAACGAAATAATGTTATGTCTATATTTAATAATAAAGGGAAAAATAATATAGTTCAATATAATGCACATCGTGTATATATATATAGTCTCAATTAAATAAAATGTTATTTATAATTAATGTGACAACCCTAGCTCAATAAGCCCTCGGGACATTATCGCTTCACTAATTCTAGCCGTGATTTATATCTTCACAGCTCCGGCCTGGCTGCCAGCGGATTAGTCGATGTGGAATTACCGAACTGTGATTGGGTCCGAATTCGATGCCTCCCGAAGTAATGCTGGATTAAATGTGGGCCGTTATAAAGTATATTTGGAAGCTATCCGATTTACTGTTTGAGAGTGTTTTGTTTAGATTAAATAGGTTATTGGGTTATTTGTCACTTGCATTGAGTTTTTTTGGGGTATGTAAATGGTGCAAGAAGGATGACTATGTTTAGTATGTCCCAGGCATTAGTATACGAGTATTAAAGTTTTTTTTTATACAACTTAGAATGGCAAACAAGCTGACGGCCCACCTGATGGAAAGTGGTAACCGTCGCCTATAGACATGAACAGTACTATGAACATAACAGAGTACACTGTTTCGCCCATGATACCCCCCATGCGTTACCATTCCTGAGGACTCAGGTGTTATTCCTCTGTACCCAGTAAATTCACGCCATATCCCACCCTTCAAACCGAAACACAGCCATGCAAACACAACTGCTTCACGGTTGAAACACGAATGGGACAGAGGTACCTAAGCAATCGACTTTTGTACAAAGCCTCCCTCTGGGAGGCTTGGCCCCATAAAATGGCCGAATATGGACTCGCAGACATTTCTTTTCCCTTAGCTGAAAATTTCGTATCTATATTCTGGGGTGTGCACCTGTAGTTGTTTGGAGGAAATAAGTAACAACTAGCTTGATTATATTATTGATTTTAATATAATGAGAGAATGACAGCAGAAATGAATGTGAGAAGTAAACGTCGCTGTCATGTCTGTATGTCCAGTGCGAAAGATAGAAAGAGGTGAAACATCTATGTACAATTAAATTAACCTACTTGATGGAGAAGAAAGTAATGATGTTGACAAATGGTTATGAGATGAATATTTACAATATTAATTTACAGACGCCAGACAAATGGTTATGAGATGAATATTTACAATATTAATTTACAGACGCCACAACACTCCCCTGCCGAGACCGTTTCACGGGCGATAGTAGTTCGGGAACCGAACAGTTCTGCCGCTGCGTGTGTTTCTTTCAGGTGGCCTCTCTACTGAAGTGTGCGGGAGTAGCGGTGATGTGGATGCTTCTGGGCTGGTGTTATTGTTGTCCCATGCCATATACGCCGGTTTCAAGCGATCTATTGTGACGGTAAGCTCTTTTCCTTGAACGTCGATTTTGAATGTTTTTGATTCTCTTTCCAGAACTTTATGTGGCCCCGTGTAGGGTGATTCAAGGGCTTTCTTGAGATGACCTCGGCGCAAGAAAACATATTCTGCATTGGCGAGATCTTTGGGTAAGTAAAATGTCGGCTTACTGTGGCACGATGCAGGTGTTGGTGTCAACTTGGCCATATGTCGACGTAGGCGAGCAACGAAGTCTGTGGGATCGTATATGGTGTTAGCAGCTGGAGTGAAGAACTGGCCAGGCAATCGAAGCGTCTCGCCGAAGACAAGCTCTGCTGCTGAGGTCTTCAGGTCTTCTTTCCAGGCACTCCTGATACCCAATAAAACCAGCGGCAATACTTCAGTCCACTGCGGGTTATTGTGGCACATGATAGCTGCTTTGAGTTGCCGGTGC